TGCGAGGCCTGGCTACAACTGTCCAAAGGTAAGTAGTAGGGCGGCTCTACCCCCCCTCCATCCCCACCCTAGCTTAGAGTGGGCAGGATCTTAATTAGGGCTTATTTTGGGGGTAGGGCTTATATTGGGCTCACGTGTAAAAAAAAAATCAAGCTAGGACTTACTTTCAGGGTAGGTCGTATTTTTGGGGAAACAGATTCACCCACTGATGGCTTTGGAGGAGAATTGTATTTCAGACTCAAGTGGGCTCCCTACCCCCAATCTGGTGCCTTTCAAGTAGAGCAGGAATGGGGGACTATGTCCCCTTTAGGAGTGTGGACTTCAATTCCCAGAATTCCCAAGCGAGGAATTCTGGGAATTGATGTCTGCAGATCCTAAAGGGGGCCATAGTTCCCCCACCCCTGAAATAAGAGCAAATGCAAAGGGGAAAAAAAAAACTGGCCTTCTGTGTTTTACAGGCATTCAAGCTTTGGAGTGCCTCTTGGATGCATCAATGGACCAGATGGGGTTTTAATTTGCACTTTTCCCCCCTAAGTAAAATATTAAATCCCTTTTGGATCGTAGAAGCGTAGAAATAAGTTTAAAAAATAAATGTGCCTTGATTCAGCAGCGTCCTTGCGTTCAAAACAAAGCCTCGGGGACCTAACATCAATTCCTCCTCCTCCTCCAATAAACATTCATTTCCAAAGTTGCCAGTTTCAACATGGCGTCTATATTCCTTCATTCTGCCCCACGTTTGCCCCTTCAGCACCCCTTAAGTAGATAAAAAGTGGCCTTACCTTCTGGAGCTGCTGTGTTCTCGACCTGAAAAACAAATACAAAGAAATAATATAAACGTCAGCTTGGCAGACTTTGGGCCTATCACCAGGGAGACGATAAGTTTTAGTTCCCTCTTGCCAAGTTTGAAGACCCGAGAGAGAGAGAGAGAGAGAGAAATACTGTTCAGGGGTCTTCAACCTTGACAGCTTTAAGACTTGTGGACTTCAACTCCCAGAATTCTTCCTCCAGTCATGTTAGCTCAGGAATTCTGGGGGTGGAAGTCCACAAGTCTTAAAGTTGCCAAGGTTGAAGACCCTTGGATTAGATAGAGAGAGAGAGAGAGAGAGAGAGAGAGAGAGAGAGAGA